TTGAGAATTAGGAGATGTAATTTATGATCAAATGAAAACAAGCGAATTTGTTGAAATAAAGAGGGGGTTTATGATGAAGCTGTTAGGAGAGAAAGAAAGAGAGAGAGAGAGAAAGAGAGAGAGAGAGAAAGAGAGAGAGAGAGAGAGAAAGAAAGAGAGAGAAAGAGAGAGAGAGAGTGATGACGATGAGACTAATAATAATAATGATAATAATAACAATAATACTAACAGGTAGGGATAATTTACAGATACCTACACACACACGCATATATATATATATATATATATATATATATATATGATTATGATCAATAGATTAGATCATATTTAGATTGTAGATTTTTAAGATCATGGAAGTATAGATAGAAAAGAAATGAGATATACATATATTAGAATAGATTCGAATAGAAGGAAAGGGGTAATTATGATTGATTGATATGAAGAAATGATTCTTTGGGAAAGCGAGAAACAAAATATGCGGCTAAGATAGCAATAAAATAAATAAAACTTATATGAAAAGGAGGAAAGAGATTGATTATTCGGAAGGAGGTTTAAATGTGTGTGTGTGTGTGTGGTTATGTTCGTGTATACATATATGTGTATGTTAGGCAGAGAGATAAAGATAGAGAGATAGATAGGAAGGATTTTTTGTTGTTGTTTTTTGTTTCCTTTTTTCTGGAAAGTTTAGAACGTGTAAAGAGACATAATCGGGGGATGATCGAACGTACCTGTAGTTCGCGCATAAGGGTCACGACCTGCAGGAACCTGTAAGTAGTCTCTTGGTGATGGACTCGTATGTGGTGCATGTGTCAAAGCCTTGTGAACCAGACCCGTCAGGTTAGCCAATTGTCTCTCCATGTGCTCCACCCTTATCCTATCGAAGACAAAAATAATAATAATAATAATAATAATAATAATAGTAATAATAATAACAATAATAATAATAATAATAATAATAATAATAATAATAATAATAATAATAATAATAATAATAATAATAATAATAATTATTGAATGATTAACGTCGAGAAAGAAAAAAAAATTTACGTGACTTTTTCTTTTTTTCTTTCTTTTATTGTTTTTTTTTCTTTCTTTTATTATTTTTTTTTTTGTATTTTTGTATTTTTTTCTTTCTTTTTTTTTTCTTTTTTTTTTCTTTTTTTTTTTTTTCTTGCAAAGCCATTCTCGTAGTGAAGGTAGACATCGAGTGTGTTACGATAATTACAGAGATAGTTCGTTCATTCATTCATTCATTCGCCAGGGTATCGTACAAGATGCGCCGCTACTTATTATTATTATTATTCATCTATCAGACGATAACGCATAACTCGGCTGGCACATAACTAATACATGTTTTCTATTTAGCGCAGGCAAAGCTAAAAACATCATTGTTCGTGTTCATATTTTTTTCTTATTTTTATGTCTTTTTTCTTTTCTTTTTTCTTTTACTTTTTTCTTTTGCTTATATTTAATTCGATCCGATTAGATTTATTTGGATAATATACATTCCCATTTTGCGTTAACATTTAGATAAGCAGGATCGTATCTCGTCGTGAGATTATTGTTTTCTTTTTCATTTTTTATTGTCAAATGTTTCAGTAATTTTTATATTCTTATTATTTGATTCTCTTTTGGCCGACAAGTAATGTTAAGATATTATCAGTATTTTCGTCAGAATAAATATTTCGTTTCAATGAAAATTTTAATATCATTCGGAGGAGATTTCATTTTTGATTTCTTTTTTTCAGTATTTTTCGTAAAAAAAAAAAAAAAAAAAAAAAAAAAAAGAAAAAGAAAAAACCTAACAACAATAAAAATTTCAACATTACTAATCAGCCAATTCATGTTTGATTGCAGATACGATCCTACAGTATCGTTTATCTCCAATATAAGATCTCTTATAAACGATACGAAATAACTTATCGTACCTATGATAATAATTTCAAATTGCATTCAACGAGTGCAGTTTAATCGATTTAAATTCGATCATTGTGTTCAACACGGAATAGGACGGTCACGTTCTAAACATTAGATCATTAGATTCGTCACACCAACATATAATATATAGAGACACGTGCATCGTTTTCGACGAACTGGAGATATTTAACTTTTTCATTTGAACAAAACAAAATAAAACAAAAAAAAAAAAATCTAAAAAAAGAAAAAAAGAAAAAGAAACGAAGAGGAACGGAGAAAAGTATATTATCGGGGTAGGTCATCCGGGAAGTTGCTGCAGCTTCTTTTGCTAAATTCGCTAATCGGCATGCTGCATTCCACTGCTGCGATTATCCACAAAGTTGAAAGAGCTAGGCTTTAGATGTTAATTCTCCCACAATCAGTGACAGGATAGAATAGATAAGGATAGAGAAAGAGAGAGAGAGAGAGAGAGAGAGAGAGAGAGAGAGGAGAATCTTGCGTATTTCTTCCACGTCTATGTTTTCTTGCTTCTCGATCATGCTTCTGCTCTGGCATTATCCTCCTTTCCAACATGCAATTCTTCTTTGATTTGTTGATTATCGATCATTCGATTATCGATCGATTTTCAATTCAATCGACTAAGACTATATATATATATATAGTTTTGAGAATTAACAAAGTAATAATTTCTTCAGATTAAAAATTAATTCTCCGTTTATAGAAAATTAATTCCATTTAGAGCGATATTACCAGGATTTTTTTTCTTTAATAACAAATATCGAGTTTGAACGTGCAAGTTCTTTTCTTTTCTTGTTCCTTTTGTTTCTCTTTTTTTTTCCTTTTTCTTTTTTTTTTTTTTTTTTTTTTTTTTTCTTTAATAATCTGACAACAATTACATGATTAAGATTGAGAATCGATTGAATCTAGATCGAAGAAACTCGATCGATTATTTAATGACGATGTTTGTTTGTTACATAGGAAATAGTTCTGCGAAAGAAAAATATGTTCGACGTCCGGAGAAGGTAGAGATGTAGAGTTTTCTTTTCTTTTTTTTTTCTTTTGTTTGTTTTTTAGAAGGTAAAAGTCGAACTTTTATAGAGATTCTACGGAAGATCGAATTATTATTGAAATAGTCGACAATAAATACGTAATATATCGCGGTATTGAGAAATATAGTATAAGTAATGGTAATAGTATTGATAGTTGCAAATGGTGATAAGGATTTTCCTTTTTTTTCTCTTTCGAAATGCGTGGAAAAAAATTAATATATATATATATATATATATATATATATATATATATATATATATATATACATATATATTCTGTATGAAATGGTGAAAGTGAAAAAATCCCGGTATGATAGTGAAAAGGAGAGAAAAAAGAAAGAAAAAAGAGGAAAAAAAAAAAGAAAAAAAAGGAGCAATAAGCGTGGAATTAAAATGCGATATGCGGCAGTGTGGTGAATACCGAGTAGCGTCGTAGCTCTGTCCAGTGGGTATAGGGGCTGCCGTTGGTGGTATGAACGGAGATCGAGGGGGTCCAGAAGGTGGTCGACCTGGTGGTTTCACGCCGTAGAGGCTGTAAGATTCCTCCAATAGCTCCGTATCGCTGCACCACCCACAACAGATATACACATCCACGCTATCAGTCATCCAAGGGAGGATTTTTTTTTTTTTCTTTTTTTTTATTGCTTTTTTTTTCTTTTTTTACCGCCACTTTTATCGGGGCCAAATTCGGAGATCACGTGAAATTGACATCATATCACGTATGTTTGCTTGTTTGTTTGTTTGTATGTTTGTTTATATGTGCTGCGTGCGATTCGCATGTACATGAAAAAGTGTGTGTATGTACATGAAAAGTGATTTGAAATTGATCCATATTTTTTTTTCTCTTCTTTTTTTTTTTTTGAAATCGAAATATCGCTTTTGATAGGTATTTCGATAGGAGGACAGGGAAAAATAGAGAGATAATGTGAGATAGATGGATGGATGGATGGATGGACAGACAGACAGTTAATTAATAAATAGAAAGAAAATTAGGGAAACTCTCCTCACCTTGCTTCTTCGTCGATGACAGGTGTCACTGTTCCGGAATACTGCGAATAATAAGGCTCCTCATAGCTGCTACCAGTGCTATAGGGACCAGGTGGATATCTTCCAGTAGCAGATCCAACACCACCACCTCGTTCGGGACTGCTCATGTAACCACTCTCACCGTGCAATCGATCTGCGGGGATCGATTCGTAAGAGTTGAAATATTAAACATTTTGTATTTAATGCGTTGTTCCTTATCTTTTTTTTTTGTTTTTTTTTTGTTTCGTTTTCTTCTTTACTTTTATTTTTTTGTTTTGTTTTCTACTTTCTCTTGTTGTCATTCTCTTACGTTTCTTAATCTTGCTCTACTTTTTCTTTTTTTTATTTTCTTTTTTTTTCTACGGGAAGCATATATAAAAGTCGAGCGAATTTATAACGAACGAATGTGCAAGTGAAATCTAAATATCGTATTTAATATGTAATTAATAATATGGCTAGCGATTTTCAACTTGACTACTTGAAAAGTAATTAACGACGGATAGATAGAGGATAAAGAAAATAAAGAATATATACGGGTTTCGGAGGCGTGCTTATGGAAGGTCAATCAAAGTCTACAATTTTTATTTCTTTTTTTTTTTTTTTTCTTTTTTTCTATTTTCCTTTGTTTCTTTTTCTTGTCTAGTTTTTCTTTTCTTTTTCTTTTCTCTCTGATAAGGGATGACGATGCACTACTTTTTTGCGAAAGGTATTTATATATGTAGGTATATATATATATATATATATATATATATATATATATGTATATATGTATATATAAAATGGAGGACATTCCGATTGGACGAAATCGACTCCTCGTTCGAACGTATTTCCCCGAAGTTAGATTAATGGCCAACATGTTTTACGACGGGAAACGTTCCACCTGCTCGTCCGTTCTCGAAGATTTTAGATTTTGCTACTTTTTTTTTTCTTTTTGCTTTTTTATTATTTTTTTTTTTTTTTTTAATTTTTTTTTTGTTTTTTTTTTTTTTTGTTTTGTTTTCTTTCAAGGATTCTACTGACCTGGTATACTATAGAGGGAGACCGAGCTGTCTCTAGAGAAACGAGCAGAGCCCCCAAGACTTCCAAGGGGATTTTTGCCGCACTGGTAGCTGCGAAGCGGCTTGGCTGGCGGCACCGCGCCACCTCCTAATTCATCCATCCAAAAAAGTCAAACAAAATGAACCGGGAAGAGTGGTTGTATACCGAGAGATATATGGAACTTCGCGAGCACTTCAATGAATTGAATGTTTTAACGGTCCTCTTATTCTTTTCTTGCTATCTATTGGTTTCTTTTATTTTCTTTTATCTTATTTCATTCCTTTTCTCTATACTTTTCTCTTATTTTTTGGCTCATTGTTATTCTTTTATTCCTTTTCCTAGGTAATTCTTTTCTCCCTCCCGCCCCTTTCACTACCCTCTTTGTTTCAATCGTTAAACCTTTGATAAATAGGAAAAGTACCGATGAGTATATAACTTTTTCTTTTTCTTTTCTTTTTTTTTTTTTTTTTTTTTGAAGCGAACTCGAATATTTCGGGTCGATTTTTTTCTTCCTTTTTAAATATTACATTTCTACGTTATCCATAAGAATTTTTAGATGTATATAGTTGTTCTTTTGTAATTTCTTTTTGTATATAAAATAACTGAGAGATGAGTACAAATAATTTATTATAGAAAATATGTTCAAAAAATTAATGATAAATTAGAAACTTGCAAAATAAGAAACTCAATCTCTTTAATTATCTATAACTTTCTTACGTGTAATGAACAAATTTTTTTAAATTACGAAAGATTCCAATTTTTCTATATTAAAATCGATTAAAAAAAGAAAAAAAAAAAAAAAAAGAAAAAAAGAAGAAGAAAAAGAAAAAGAAAGAAAAAAAGGAAAAAAAAAGAAACGAAAAAGAAAAAAAAAGAAGGAAAAAAGAGCAGAGAAGAGGCAATAAAACAAAAAAAGAAAAAAGAAATAAAAAGGATCCGAAACAATCGAGTTCAATCATAATTTTTCGAGACCACTACAAAATTCTAGAATTAATAATACATCAAATATTTTTCTTATAAGATGCAAATGTACGTATGTACGAATAAACAAATAAATAAATAAATAAATAAATAAATAAGTAAATAAATAAATATGTATCTCGCATTTTAGCAAAGGATCATGTCGAACCGAAGAAATCTCGGACAAGGCGATTCTTTTGTCCAAGTCGGAACGGTGCCTCGAGTCCCTTTGATTCGTTCAACGATCGAGCAAGGATGTAAGCATAAAATTTAATTAATTCGAAAATAAAAAGCCATCAATAATCATTGTACGGAGTTTTTGCATGCTCTCTCCTCTTATTGGTTGATTTTTATTTTGTTTTCTTTTTTTTTTTTCTTTTCTTTTAGGCGGGGCGACGAAGGAGGGGTGTGGTGCACTTGGAAATTTTGTTATTTGCTTACTCGGCAACCTGTGTTTTTAGTATTATTAATCACAGAGTAATCGATCGGTCTTAATTAGTGTCGATACCAGACAGGGTAGTAAAATGACGTAATTAGTAGAGTTTCAATGCAAACAGAGAAAAGGGTGGATTAAGGGGATGAGAGGGTTAAGGGTGAAGGGGGTAAAAGTAGATAGGGTCGATCGGTTAACGTTCTCGTTTCGAATTCGAGGCTTCGCCGATTGAAAGGACTTTGCCTTTGAGTTCTCGAGAACGAAACTGAAATGTTTTGATTTCGATCGATATTAACTTTATATATATATATATATATATATATATATATATATATATATACATATATATACATATATGTATATATATATAATATATAATATATATATACATATATGTATATATATATAATATAGAATATATATATACATATCGAGCAAAACGAATCGTTTGCAAAATGCAGAGAGAGAGAGAGAGAGAGAGAGAGAGAGAGAGAGAGAGAGAGAGAGAGATATCGTGCACGAGTTGCTTTGGATGCTGAGAGAATATTGTTTTTAAAACATGAGAGAGAGACGACTAACATGAAATTGGGAAACATGCTAGGATGTACAAGTTCGATAAGCTAATCGATTATTACATATGTATGTATATATACAGAGATATATATATATTAATTTGAAACAATGAATCGATAATACTAATATATTTTTAACATTTTATATCCAAATAGATAATGTTAGAAAATGTAGAATTCTTTTCTTTTCTTTTCTTATGTTTCATTTTTTTGTTTGGTTTTCTTTTTTTTTTTTTTTTTTTGTAAATGAAAAGTAGATATTAATTCTTGCGTAAAAAAGAAGAAAAAATTGTATGCAAGCTAGGCCAAAAAGAATCATTTAGGAATTTTCATGGATGCCTATTTCGACGTATTTAATTTTTAATTTAGATATAAAACATTCGACTGGCGATATTAAATCTATCGAAGAAATTTCCATTCTTTATATTAAGAAGAGGGAAAAAAAAGAAAAACAAAAAAAAAAAAGAAAAAACAAAGGTTCTTTTAAAAAATCGAACAACTAACATAATTTTTAGACAGAACAATTCTCGATAGATTTAATATTTTCTTTTCTCTTTTTTATTATTTATTACTATCAGTATTGAATCGGAGAGAAGAAAAGCTACGAAATAGAAAATTGTACGGAATAAATTTTCTCTCGTTTTTATATTAGCGCAGCTTCCCATTGTAGGATCGATTCAAATCGTCTCTTTTAAACGTGAAAAGTGTTCTCGACTCTTGGAAGACTAAGAGACACCGTTTTCTCGATGAAATCGGCCACGAAATGGTCGTCTATTGTTAGCCGTGCGCACAATTTAAAATAAAAAAAAAAAAAAAAAAAAAAAAAAGAAGAAAGAAAGAAAGAAAAGGAAAAAAAAAGCAGAAAGAAATATGCGCACGTATACCTGGTGTAGATAATGGCTTCGGTTGTGTTGGGGTTGCATTTGGTCCTGCCACTACCGACGATGCTGCTGGACTATACGCCCTTAAAAGAGATCCACCTCGTGGTAAAGTACTACTACCACCAACGTAATATCCACCACTACCGGAATTGGAATTTTTTGCTGTCTGAAAATACATAAAATTATTTTATTTATTGTACATCGATATATTAATCTTCTTTATTTTATTTCGATATATATTTTTATATGTTTTATTATTCCTTTAAACAGGTCATTAATTAATTCTATATGTAAATCTGTATATATTTGTAATTTTTTGTATCTAAATTATTTCAATATTTATGTATGTTTATTATTTTTATTCAATTTAATCAAAAAAGAAACTAAAATTTCTATAAAAAGAAATCGAGAACAGCGTTAATTAATAATAATATGTAATAAATCATAAAATGAAATGAATAAATAAAGTTATATAATATAATTAATTAATTACAAGCGTTGAGATATTCTATTAAAAGGATAATAAGTATTTATCTGTTTGTTTGTTTGTTTGTTTGTTTTTTTTTCTTTTCCTATTTGAAGTATCATATTACTCATTCTAACGTTAATTTAACGTTAATGAACACATAACAGATAATTTAGTTTCTAAATATCCATATAGTGCAATTTCCTATAGATAAAAAAATAGTTTTATAACGAATCGAATTCTGTACGATAACTAGCAAAGAAGAGTCTTTAATTAAGCAAGCATTACAGTGCACTTCAAATAGAATTTATTCGATTCGATTTCACTATTTTCTAATCTCTCCGTTTGCTTTCTAGTCAATTTGCTCGAGCATGTATAATACAATAGCTTATTTTGGCGGGAAATTCAAATGCTATCACGCGTACAAATCGAACGTTTCTTCTTCCCTTCTTTTTTTCTTTCTTTCTTTTTTTATTTCATATTATCTTTCTTTCTCTTTTTCTTTTTTTTTTTTTTTTGAATTTCGCTATTTACCAACAAAATTTTTAATACTTATACATTTTAGATTTGAAATTGTTACGATTTCAGATACAAAATTAAAAATTTCCAATATTGTTTGTTGGCCAATGCAATAATTGGATATTTTGTTTTTTGTTATGCGAAATTTCAAATTTTCACATTTTTCAATATTTCATTTTGCTATTATAAGCCAATACAATATTTATATTTGTCAAAAAATTTTCGATATTCATATAATTCGATAATTAAAAATATTAAAAATTAGAAAATCCCAATTGCGTTTATTGTCATATAGAGAGATTATATTGTATGATAAAATAAGAAAAGAAAGGAATAGAAAGAAAAGAAAAGTAGGCGTAGAAGGTGTCAAAAAATGTTCAATATTCATATAATTCGATAATTAAAAATATTGAAAATTCGAAAATCCCAATTGCGTTTATTATCATATAGAGAGATTATATTGTATGATAAAATAAGAAAAGAAAGAAAAAAAAGGAAAGAAAAAAAAGAGAAGGAAAAAAAGAAAAGGAAAAAAGAAAAGGAAAAAAAGAAAAGGAAAAAAGAAGAAAAAGAAGAAAAGGAAAGTAGGCGTAGAAGGTGTCCTCCTTCCCTAACTATAATCTTCGGAAAATGTTGAGGAATCAAAGGCACATGTTAAGGTCCCTTCTCCTTCTTACCGATTTCAAGGAAGCGTAAAAGCAAACAGGCTTTGCTGATTCGCATCGATTTCCCTTCCTTAGTAGTTGTTACTCATGCAGTACGTTCGGCAACGTGATCTGTGCCTTTTATATTGTCGTTACTCGAATTAAAAATAGAAAAAAAGAGAGAGAGAGAGAGAGAGAGAGAGAGAGACAGAGAAAGGGAAATATAGATAGATTAGACAGATAGACAGATAGATAGACAGATAGATAGATAAATAGATATATCTATAGAAGGAAATAGAAATAAAACTACAGAGAAAGAGAAAGATTAGGAGACAGAGAAGTTACGACAGATAGATCAAATGAAAAGGAAGAAGGGGTTTTAGGATAGAAACGGAGCTTGTTGCTAGTTAGACAGGAAACTCAAGAAGGATAGGATGGTGTTTTTAAAAGGTGCCGTGTCATAATCGTCCATTCAAAATTAGGATATATAGTTTGATTTTGAATTTCGATATTAAAAACAACGAGTTTGTGTTATATTGTTTGTGTTATAAGTTTAATGATCGTAATAACGTATTAAAAATTTTCGATCATATTGAAATTAAAATTTTTCCCTATCGATCGTTAGAGATCTTTCTTTCTTCTTTTTTTTTGTTTTCTTATCGATTGACAGAAATTTTTTTCTTTTCCTTCTTTTCTTGTCGTTTTTTTTGTTTTTTGTCTTTTTTTGGAAGATACTGAAAGATATCGTTGATCCATCGGAAGATAATGAGTGACGTTAAGAATAATGAAGAAATCGATGTTATCACCTAATATCCTTGTATTCTCTTGTTTCATACTTTTTGAATATCTAATAAAAAGTGTGACCTTGGAATCTTCCATCTTGAAGATCGACGAGAAGTTCGGGAAAAAAGTGAAAAGTTCACCATTGCATATGATCTTGCTTACTCAGAAAGATTATATTCAGGTAAAATATTTGATTATGGTGTTGATATAGAATACAGAGGAAGTTTAAAAATTTGTCAAAAAAAAAAAAAAAAAAAAAAAAAAAAAAAAAAAAAAAAAAAAAAAAAAAAAAAAAAAAAAAAAAAAAAAAAAAAAAAAAAAAAAAAAAAAAAAAGTATTTTTTAACTGTTTCTGTCAATTTTATTTTTGATCGACAAGTAAAACTACAGTCTCAATAATTTTTGACGAGAGACTTTTATAATATACAATATATAAATATTTTGCGATGACAAAGTAAATAAAATGATCGACAAAGAGTTAACTCTATCAATCGCTTTTCAATCGATCCAATAGAAAAAAAGATTGTGTATTAACATTTACGGATAGTGCCTTAAATAGATTGAATGCCAATTAACGCAATAGGAATATAAAGAGATAATGAATGTGCGCTTTAATTAATTCTTTTCTTTTTTTTTCCTCTTTGTTTTTCGTTAGTTTCTCAGATGGGAATTGCCAGTGCCAAATATCGAAGAATTTACTTTTTGTTTATGGTTGCGTTCCGACAACTTTACTCGTCCACATTCAATTTTTTCTTATTCCA